GCCACGTTTTATTGTGGTTTACAGCTAGGCTGCGGTATCTGCGCCTTTTGCCCAAAGACATCCGATTTCACTTGAGTCCTAATAAGCCTTCCTGCGACGCTTCTTGATCAAAAACTATTCGGCGATGACAGAAACTGTTAACTAAGACGGCTTACAGTCCAGTTTACTTTGGGTGGACACGGATGCCAAGGTCAGTTAAAAATCGTTCTCTCGGAGAGGGAGAGATGGCGGGTGCGGGGTATTTTTCTCCCCTATTCATGAGTATAGTGTACTTGTCACTGTGAGTTCCATCACTGGTTACGCGATGAAGTTTTTTTTTTCCTATATCCGGGGCAAAACCAAACTAAATAGTCCGTGGCGCTAACTCTTCTTTTCTACATCAACCTATACAGACAGTTTTTGTTGTTGAGATGGTGGTGGTGGTTGTGGTTGCAGTAGTACTGCTGTTACACTGGCTACATTTACTTCTCTGTACAAGTTACTGCTACCTATTTAAGTCTAGGTGGACACGGATGCAAAGCTCAATTTAGTTACAATATTTCGTTACACAGTGACTTTCCCCATCCTTCGGAGAAGATGATATGATTGGGGGAGGGGGGGGGGGGGTATGCCAGACACAGTTAGCTTCAATGAGGGAAAGAGTAGTCGGTGAAATTTGTGGGGGGGGGGGGCGGCGTGCAAACTGTTTACTGAGAGAGCTTTAAGTCACAGTAACTTCTTTACCCACTCAAAGTAGCAGCAGCAGTAGTAGTTGTGGTTGGGCTGTTACACCATAGTGCTCTCATGTGAAGACCGCCGGTAAGGTTATGGCGTTCTTCTGTCGGGAATCGAAATTATACATCCTAACCTGACCAGTCCGTGGCGACAGCACTAGCTATGCGGCACCAAATCTTCTGGCTCACGACTCCCTGTCTACTGCGATGGTAAAACAGATAGCAGTGACATTATTTTAGCTACTGTGGTGGTGGCCGTGGTAGTAGTTTTACTGGTAATCTGGTAATCCTAGTTTCATCTTCATAGCAAACGGGTCACCCTATAGATGTTCCGCTCCTGTGCCAACGAAACAAACGCAGCTCACAGTGTCACGCCATGCAGTCAACTCAGAAGCTGGGCGACGAAACTACATCCTTCCAGTCTACAAATGGAGCAGAAATGCAACGGCCACCATCTGGCAAAAACAAAACAAAACAAAAACATTCGCCACGGCTTTCAAAAAAAAAAAAAAAAAAAAAAGGTGGCCGTGCCTAGCGCCCATTTTGACCGGAAGAATTATATGAGGGTTAATAAACGGTCACCCCTGCAGTACCCTCATTATTAGCCGGGAAAGGGACTTAGGACATTACATCCACCAGTAGGCGTCGCCCCTACAACGACCTGCCTGGTACTTGAAGGATGATGTGGTAAATATTACACTAGCTCCATTCACTACCTTTTACAATTCCTTCTCCCCATTTTAGTCCGGATGAACAGGGATGTCAATGTCAGTTACAACAGCAACAAAATATCGCCAGGTGATGATTTTCAAATCCTTCGAAGAGGGAGAGAGCAGTAGTCGGTGGAAGAGGGGAGGGGAGGTGTGTAATGACCTAAATTTAAGAGAACTTAAAGAGCTTTACACGTGATTTTCAAGTTCTCATTACTTGATTTGTTTATATTTTACTAACGCTACCTCAGCTATTCAATTTTTTTTTTACGACTGACTTTGTTATTTAAAAGTACAGCTGTAGCTTTACTTCCGTCTCCTATAAAAATACAAACCACTTTAGCATGTGATAACCAAATAACCATTTTTGTTACTTGCTGATAACACCATTTAAACGACCACAAATATAAAGACACAATTATATGGTGCGTTTTCTAAAGTTGGAAAACCAGACTATCTCTATATCTGTGCAGAGAATAATTGCGACATTAACTACATTAGACACGAGCGATTACCATTGTCTTTCTTTTCCAAAAACCTTTGATGAGGGAGAGAGTAGTTGGTGGATTTAAATGTGTTGTGGGGGGGGGGGGGGGGGGGGGATCAAAGACTAGACTATTTTCTATATCTGAGCAGACAATGATTGTATTAGACACGTGCGATTTCCATTTTCTTTCATTTCTATTTAGCCAAACTATGCCACAGTAAACGCGTGGCCGGGTACAGCTAGAATATATATATATATATATATATATATATATATATATATATATATATATATATATATATATATATATTCATAATCTGTTTAAATCATCACAGATCACTGGCACCATGAGAGCTAATAGACTGAAATGGTTGGGGCATATTGAAAGAATGTCAGATGACAGAAAGTAAAACTGTATACACGAGGGAGATTTATGGTCGTAGATCACTAGGCCGACCAAAAAGACTATGAAGAGATTATGTCCAGACAGACTAGCAAACACATGGTGTCACCAACTGGAAAGAGAAGGCCAACCATAGAGATGAATGGAGGCGGGTGATATCTGCAGCAATAAACCTCAAGGGCTCGGAATGCTGAAGAAGAAGAAAAAAGACAAGTCTAAAAACATAACCAGCTATTTTTTATCGTAACCTTTTTTACAAAAAAAAAAAAAAATTAAAATTAACTGGAAATAAATTATATGAAATATAACATGAAAATATTTAATTTCGAAACTAAAAAATACACAGTAAAATATAACGGAAATGGAATAAGACTGCTGGGATAGGTTGAATGTGTTGTATAGAGCGGAGAAAGAAAAAGTAGACTAAACTTGTACCAAGTCACAGAAACCAGCAATAAAATCATCATTTGGCTATGACTGGAGTGTTTTTATGTTCGAGAGCAATGAGCTGCTGCTTAAAATAACGTTCAAGTCTGCTATAGTTGTGACTACTGCATAAAAGGGTTTGCAACTTGTCTTATTTATTCACTTGAAACATTTATATTGGGTGTGTTACTGTTTCGTCGATTTAAGATTTAATGGTTTAAAATGAAAATCATCAGTCGTCAGAGGAATGAGTCTCAGTCAGTACCAGTTAACAAAATTACCTGTTTCTTTCACCTCTTCTTTTATTATGCTTGTTCTCTCCTAATGATATTATTCCTAGAATTCTTGTTTTGCATTAAATAAATATCTGACAACGCCATATACTATATTATTAATTTTTTTTAAATATTATCATAAACATAGTAATGGTGTGTGTGTGACACACTGTGTCTGAGTTGTGACAGATTCCCATATATTTGCCTGTGCAGTTTAAGTGTTAGTGTGGCTGAGAAAATGAAGACGCCACATACACCTCATGAGTTGAACTGTAGGTAGAGAGTAGTCATAACATTTCTAAAATTTTGGTTTAAAAAAAAATCTACTTGATTAGCTGACCAAAAAAAATGTAACCTACCTAACCCAGCAGTACCTCCGCTGTTGTGAATTAGTAGTCCATTTTGAATCTTCCGCATTGCCGACTTAGAATCAGATACAATAATTCCTCAGGTAACTGTGTTTTCTGCTATCCAAATGAGAGCTGCAGTGATTGCCTCCACGTCCATTCTCATGTTTAAAGTTGTAAATAAAAAAGCAGCATTTTGTTCTGCCGCAATCTTGTCCTTTATTCTGGCTGTAAATCCCCTGCCAGATGTTACACACCAATGCACAGAGCCATCGGTGAACACTGCTGCATCATCTAGCCCGACTTTGTCATCTATCGGTTGCTATGCCTCTAATTCTGCCATATTGTAACACCACTCTCCAAATTCTCTTACTAATGTAATATTAATAATGACCTGATGGAAACTGCTGTTGTAGGTGTTTGTGTCGACCCATTCCTGCCCCCCTGTGTATTTGCTCGACTGAGGCCGCCGTCTCAATGGTATCTTCAGCTAGTGCCATCCATGACTTTCCTCTTTTTAACCAGTCTCCTCTTAAATCTTTCAGATTGCCATGCAGCGAATGCTTTTCATTATTGGTAACTGGCTTATATTCCTTGGCTTGTGCCAGTGACAGTCTGGACTTTACCCATGTCAGCCCAAGCATAAACCTCATTGTTCTAATTGGTGTATCTCGTTTGCAAACTGGATGCTTAAGCTAGGTCGATCACTCCATCCGAGTCTCCGGCACACTCTGCTAATCTTATGGCATGACTATTGTTTAAAACGGTGAAGCTAATGCTTAGTAGGGCCTGACTCAATGCAACTCCTTGTCTGTTTTCTGTCTGATTTCCCCACTCTTTTGACCCAGTGTGAAAATCACCAGCTATAAAACATTTTCCGTCGTACTCCTCCAACTCTACAAGGAATTCCCATGCGCCTTCATTCAGAGATTGATCCAGATGGGCATATACGTCAAAGATGTACCAATCGTGGTGGTCTATGGAAACAACTAATCCTTGAATCTCAAACATTTCAGTGTTTGACTTGTGTGTATCTAGCCATCTGTGTTGAATCCCATGCCTGGCATACTGCTAGACCTTGGTCTTGTGCTTCTCAAGGATAACTGTAGCAGTCATACCCTGGACATTGAATGATTGATTCATCTTTTATTCTGGCTTCCTGGATCATAAGGATATCAAAGTCATACACTATTTTCAGTCATGTGTGTGCTTGTTAGCTTTGTGTTTGGACAGTTCCAAGATCTAACGCGAATGAACTTCAGAGATAATCTGTTTTTCTTCTAGTCCTCTTACCAGCTTTTCTTTCTATCCTTCCTTATTCTTCTCCTTCCTCTTAGCTCCTGCTAAGATTTTGTGAAACAGTTGATTCCATGGGGGCGTGTAGCTTGTGAGGGTTAATAAATGGTCATCCCTGTATTGCTTTGTGCTGGCAATTAGATCTTTCAGCCAACAGATTCCCCTACAACGACCTGACTGTTTGATGAAGAAGGGATTAAACCTCCTAAGCACAGAGTTTACTAGTAGTTCAGAAAACATCTAATATGAATTCTGTTTGATCAGGAGTACTGGTTTAACCTCCCAGGAACAGCATCAGGGAGTGAAGCAAAGTCAACATATCAGAGACAGAGCTGTCATACTCATGAATCATGACTTTCCTCATAACATAGTCAGTGAAACATTGCTGACCTATCACTTGAAAACCCATATTTTCCTTTAAGGAAAAAAAAGGCAGGGGTGTATTGTAACAGTTGTGAGTGTAGAGTTTTCTTAAAGATAGGAATAATGAAATCCAATAGCAGGCAATAGAATGAAAGTTTAAGTTTTCGGCTGTTAAACAAATGGCAAACCATGGATATCAGATAGCAGTCAGTGTGAGAATTCAGGCATGTACTTGATAAAGATTAGACCAGGTGAAGAGTAATTATTTCTCATTGGATAGTTTAACAACAAAGGGACAAGAAGGAGCATATGAGTTGTTTATGCTGATCAGACACATTGTTAAAAATATAGTTTTATTGGGAGGGTCCCTCAGACCGGGTATCAGCTAAAAATAACCAGTGACCACTCGCAGGAAATTTTTTGTAAATGACGCATTATTGTTCTAAAAACAGATGGATTCACTTGAAAAGATTAAACAAAATTTGGGGTATGTAAGGCAAGAGTTAAAGAAATAAGAGAAGACACATGGGGCTCTCTGATTAGCAGATCAACCGGGGAGAGGCCGTATCCCCTTTTGTTCAGAGGTCAGAGCATGGAAAAGGCAGCGAGGTAGAATGGCCGAGCATAATACAGGCGGATTGAGACCCAGAAGGTTTCTGCTGCCATCCTGGAAATGTGAAATGGCAGTCGAAGGGAGGCTCACCAGACTGGAGTTGTAAAATAGTAGTCAAGGAGACTGTCCAGACAGAGAAATAGCAGCGATGCAGTACTGACCAAATACAGAATGTATCAAGTGATGCAAATAGCAGGGTATGTGGTACCTCATCATGTATTGAATTATATATAGAAGTCAAGTGGGAGCTTGCTATGTCAAGATTAGATCAGACTTTTAAGAAGTCCTGCGATCATGTTGTGGAAAAACTATGTTGAGAGATCAGCAAGATAATAGATTCTTTTATGAATCCTGGTTTTCCATATAGCAATTATGAAATTTTCTGGAAATGCATTGAAGTTGAGATATATATTAATAAATGTTGTCTGTGCAGAAGCATGTTTTCTATAATTTCAGTACTGGATAGTAATCCTGTATTTTTATGTTCAGACAACAGGTACACTTTGTGAGTATAATCATCTTTCACCACTATGACCATGCTATTATCATGTGACATGAGGCCATATCGCCATATGTTTTTGTTTGGTCTTCCTTTATTTCTGTGCTCCTGTGGGTTCCAGTGCAAACACATTCAAGTTATATTGTTCTCAGGTTTTCTCAGCATGTGTCCTATCCAATGCCAGCGTATTTTCTTCACCTCTTGGTCCACTTGAACTTGTTTAGTTCTCTCCCAAAGTTCTACATTAGTGATTCTATCATACCACCTAATTCCCTCTGTTCTGCGCAGGCACCCAGATGAATGTTTATAGTTTGTTAGTAATTGTCAATTATACATTTTTTTCTAGGTATGAATGGCATGGCTCGTTATCATCCTAACCAGCCTGCGAATATGCCTCCTGATATTGACAAAAAAAGGAGGAACTACAGACTGTTAGCAGATCCAATGATTGATCGCTCTAAAGACAAAATTTATAGGTTTGATGGAGTGAACCCACAGGCAAGTGTATGTGAATGAGTGACTAGGTTGCATGTTTGTGTGTGTGTGTGGCTTGTCATTAATGATTGGTGTAATTGTACTGACAGCAATGTGTTTATTAAACAAACATGCCAGCTACACTCTTTCCTGTTAGTATTCTTTTTCCCGCTGTTTCATTGAACAGTCTAATAATTCTTATCTCTGTTTTTCCAGAATTTTTGTTACAGATTCTGGAGCTGAATTGACATTATTTTATTTATGACACAGAACTTGTGAAATGTCCTGTCTCTGTAAGGTCACCAGCAATAGAAGACTCTCCAAGTCACAAATACCAGCTGTAGAGAGCAGGCTGGAAGAATCTACCTGACTGCCATTGAAGGACAGAGAAAGAAGGAAGTAGTTTGGCCATCTAGTCAGAAATCCACTTGACTCAACTGTATGAGACCTAGTGTAGCTGAAAATCTCATTGAAAGTGTGAGCAAGACCAAGGAAGCTGTGGATGTTTCCCTCAAGAAAATGGCAACTCCTTGTTATGATGATGATGTTAATGCAGTGTGAACATGATACTCAAGTCTAGGATCACCCAAGGAATCAACACTTCCTGCATATGGCTCCTTAGCCTTACTTTTATATATTGGGTTTCCCTATTTTCCAAGTTCCCTTTTATACATGGTCATAGACTTCTGTGATCTCTTATTACTTCTTTTTATTGAATTTTTGTATTCCTATGGTGAGTAAGTAAGTACATTTTACCCCACCAGGACATCACACAGAGCGATAAACACCTAGTGACACAAAGTGCCACCATGCGGATGAGGATCACCCATGGAAAGGTCACAGAAACTTCATTTATCTGTTAGGTTATATTATGGCCCCCAGCAGAAGTCTAGGTGGATCTTTAAAAAATGAATAATCGTGTCCCACATGGGGACAACGATGGTTTCTTGAGTATGGTACTAAAAGCTCACATATTTTAAGGTATTTTTTTCAAGATCTGGTTCTTGGTTTTTGACCTATAAAGAGCAGTGTGTTTCAAGCAGACTGTTGACCCTGAAAAATATTTAGGCGTGTTCATTCCAGGACACACCAAGAAGTCCCTGGGCTTGACCGGTTTGCACGCTTACCACGTAGTCAGAAGTTGATTAAAGCTGCCCTGACAAAATACAAGAGGTGTAGTTTGTAGATGGACTCTCTTTTTCAGTCCTAACACCATACAGTTACAGCTCAACCATAAAACACTACGCTCAATGAGCGTTTGCCGTTAAAAGTCACACAGAGATCATAATTGACTGGCACCTGGCTCACAGAATCACGATGGTGAGCTTTGTTCCTCCTCTCTCTCTCTCTCGACTCCGTTAAGTGAACTCGTTCTCATCTTAAACCCACACTTTCATTATCCCCATGTGAGTTTTTCATGTAAGGCATGAAGACCATGATTCTTGTTCATTATGAATCCCTGTTGTTTCTTTCCTTCCCATTGATGGCTATTCAGGTCCTGAACCCTGTAATCCTGTGGAACTGGGTATTTGATTGAGTTTATCGATTACAAATAAATAATGGAGTATAACCCTAAGGGACCTAACCCTGTGTTTCCATACATTGACCATAACAGTGAGGATATCCCACAAATGATCTTTTGACATATATGTTAACCCTTTCATCCAGGGAAGGGTGGGGGGAGGGAGAGGGGGGGGGGAATAGATCAACTGCTCCTCAACAGAGTGTTGTAAAATAAAAGGCCACTATTTAAATGATGAAATCAGATGGGCACAACAAAGGAATTTTTGCCTTTTCCTGATGCTATTTTCGGTCAATATAATCAAATCTGTCCCTACTAAACACAGTGTGGGCACAAACAAAACATGCCATTAACTGTGCTTGTTGGGGACCAGCCAGTACAGCTGTTTTCCCTGGCACTGGTAACGGACGGAGTTGCTGGGCTAGCAACTTCTCAGGGCAAAAAGGTCATCATGTCTGTTAACATAAACACATTTTACTTCTGTTCTGTAGGATGGTAGATTGGTTGATACTAAAGATCCAAGACCAAGATATCAGCGTATTTGTTATAAAAGACCACCTGCAGACCTTCCTGTTCCTAGGTGGAAGGTAGGTTTGTTTTTAGTACTGAGCATGGTATGCTAATTGCAGTAACATTTGTTTTTATTCATACCCACTTGTTTTATGTAATCTACAAGGCATGTTTTAATAATGTTGAAATCTGGATTTAATTACTTGTAGTGGCAGTGTGTGTCCCCCTCATTAAACGTGACTTTGGTGGGTGTAGGTAAAACCCTCTACATTGCAGATCCAGATAAGAAATTTGTATGATTGGCTCTTGATAATAAGTGTTAGCAACATCTCAAGAGAAACAAACGTGGCTAAAGGATGGCTCATTAAATAGATTCAGCTGACAGATCCTCTGGAGAAGGAAGCAAGTGGCTAGAGGTCTATCCAGTATACCCATCTAGTAATATGAAGGCAGTTACAAAGAATTTATTGTAGTTATTAAAGTTGTTGGCACTTTTCCATCTTTCCAGTCAGTAGTATGATATTGTTCTGTGAGGTGGCATGGGACTTCTAGCCCTTGGCAATGGCCAATGTGACTAGCAAGACCCAACCCCATGAAGAAGGTTTCCAGTTATAGCCTGGGATTTCAGGACCATTGTTACCATCATTTGTATTTAGTCTATTTCTTCTCAGATGCTCAGCTCTCATCCTTTCTGCAATCATTTCCTTCTCAGGCGCTCAGCTCTCATCTTTTCTGCAATCATTTCCTTCTCACGCGCTTAGCTGTCATCTTTTCTGCAATCATTTCCTTCTCAGGCGCTCAGCTCTCATCTTTTCTGCAATCATTTCCTTCTCCATTCTCATTCCCTTCCTGATTTTCCCCCTTTACGCAACATGTCCATCACATTTTGTTCCCACGAATCCACCCCAATACCTGTATCATTCGTGTCCCATTTGCACACATCTTTTCGCCATATTAGAGGTCTATCTCAACATCTTTAATTTAACCCATCTTTAATTCACCATAGAGGATATCTTTAGGGACTCGACCATCCTGCATTCTCCAGGTGTGACCCAGCCACCTGAGCTTTCTTAGACTGAGCATTGAGAAAAATGTTGTAACACCTGCTCTTTCCAATACCTCTGTTGGTTATCTATTACCATTTAATTCCTAGTATTCTTCTTAGTAGTATTATTTAGTAGTTTCTCCTGGTGCGAATAAGTTGCCATAAAGAGGAGTGCTGAGAACACAGCCTGATAGACAAGAGTTTTTGTTTTAATCGTGAGCTTTCTTTTCCTCCAGCTCTTTTTATTAATCTGCTCATTGTTGTTGCCGCCTTACCTATCTAGATGTTGATTTCTTGGTCCAGCGAGCAGTAGTTTGTTGGTCATTGTCGATTCCAGATATGTAAAGTGGTCAGCTGTCTCCGTCTTTTCACCGTCAATGTACACTGCAGGTCTGTCATTAACACCTTGCACCATAATCTTTGTCTTCTTTTTGCTGATTGTTAGGTTTGGTATATGCTGCCCAGCAATCGGTGTTAACAGATTATTTATTATAGTATCTAGTAAAAATACTCACCAGACAATAAAGTAGTGGCTGTGATGATTTTTTGTTAAATAATGAATTTCAGATCTGAGAGTTGATAGTTCTTTGAGACTGATGAATTAATGAGATGGTGTTTGTGGTTGTGATTAGACAAATGTTATTTTTCTCACATTTTAAATGAAAGGAAAAACCTGATGACAGTCCTTAGTATGATACTCTGTTTGGATCCAATGATACTCTGTTTGGATCCAGTGATACTCTGCTTGAATCCATTGATACTCTGTTTGGATCCATGAATACTCTGTTTGGATCCAACTTGAATGGAGTCACCAAAGCTGTATGTCCACTCACTAAGACTCAGTCAGGCCTGGCTCCTATTGGAGCTAACATGAAAAAAAAAAATAATGTGCAACTCCCTGTCTGTTTTCTGTCTGATTTCCCCACTCTTTTGACCCAGTGTGAAAATCACCAGCTATAAAACATTTTCCGTCGTACTCCTCCAACTCTACAAGGAATTCCCATGCGCCTTCATTCAGAGATTGATCCAGATGGGCATATACGTCAAAGATGTACCAATCGTGGTGGTCTATGGAAACAACTAATCCTTGAATCTCAAACATTTCAGTGTTTGACTTGTGTGTATCTAGCCATCAGTGTTGGATCCCATGCCTGGCATACTGCTAGACCTTGGTTTTGTGCTTCTCAAGGATAACTTTAACTGTAGCAGTCATACCCTGGACATTGAATGATTGATTCATCTTTTATTCTGGCTTCCTGGATCATAAGGATATCAAAGTCATACACTATTTTCAGTCATGTGTGTGCTTGTTAGCTTTGTGTTTGGACAGTTCCAAGATCCAACGCAAATGAACTTCAGAGATAATCTGTTTTTCTTCTAATCCCCATACCAGCTCTTTTTTTCTATCCTTCCTTATTCTCCCTCTTCCTCTCCTTCTCCTCCTACCATCATTTGCTGCAAGTATCAACGTCAGAGAAGAATCGCCTTAGCTCCCGCTAAAATTCTGTGAAAATATTGAATCTACAGTTGAATTAGTTTGTGAGGGTTAATAAACGGTCACCCCAGTATTGCTTTGTGTGTGTGTGTGTGGGGGGGGGGGGACATTAGATCCCTCAGCCAACAGATTCCCCTACAACGACCTGACTGTTTGATGAAGAAGGGATTAAACCTCCTGAGCACAAAGTTTACTAGTAGTTCAGAAAACATCTAATATGAATTCTGTTTGATCAGGAGTACTGGTTAAACCTCCCAGGAACAGCATCTGGGAGTGTGTCTAGTTTGTGTGTCTACACAGCTAAACAAAATGTTATAATGGGGTTAAAAGACACATCTACTCACTATCTGACAAAGGAGAAAAACACTATCAGCTCTCTTACTGACAGATGGAAGGAAGAAATGCTTGGTTCACAGACAGAAGCTGCTGGACATCTTGCATGCTAAAATAGGTTGCACAAAATGCAACTCTTTCCGTGTCACAAGATGAGGAATAAGATCAGTACAACTTTTTACAGTTAAAATGAGCACACTCAGAAAATGATTAGTATGGACATGTTTACACAGATCAGTCAGTAGAGGAACATCTTTAAAAACCATAGCAAAGCTAAAGATTGTCTGGAAGACTATTCTGTTTGGGAACTGGTTTATACAGTTTCAGATTCTAAACTAAACAGTTAAAACTTACTGCTCTTGATGTAAACCAAATGAGGCATAACTAAGAACCTATTCCCGCAAACAAACAATAAAATATACCTACAGTCACTGTTAGCAGTGTGCTGAGGCACTGAAACAGTCACTGTTAGCAGTGTGCTGAGGCACTGAAACAGTCAATGTTAGCAGTGTGCTGAGGCACTGAAACAGTCATTGTTAGCAGTGTGCTGAGGCACTGAAACAGTCAATGTTAGCAGTGTGCTGAGACACTGAAACAGTCAATGTTAGCAGTGTGCTGAGGCACTGAAACAGTCATTGTTAGCAGTGTGCTGAGGCACTGAAACAGTCACTGTTAGCAGTGTGCTGAGGCACTGAAACAGTCAATGTTAGCAGTGTGCTGAGGCACTGAAACAGTCATTGTTAGCAGTGTGCTGAGGCACTGAAACAGTCAATGTTAGCAGTGTGCTGAGGCACTGAAACAGTCAATGTTAGCAGTGTGCTGAGGCACTGAAACAGTCATTGTTAACAGTGTTCTGAGGCACTGAAACAGTCATTGTTAGCAGTGTGCTGAGGCACTGAAACAGTCAATGTTAGCAGTGTGCTGAGGCACTGAAACAGTCAATGTTAGCAGTGTGCTGAGGCACTGAAACAGTCACTGTCAGCAGTGTGCTGAGGCACTGAAACAGTCAATGTCAGCAGTGGGCTGAGGCACTGAAACAGTCACTGTCAGCAGTGTGCTGAGGCACTGAAACAGTCACTGTCAGCAGTGTGCTGAGGCACTGAAACAGTCACTGTCAGCAGTGTGCTGAGGCACTGAAACAGTCACTGTCAGCAGTGTGCTGAGGCACTGAAACAGTCAATGTTAGCAGTGTGCTGAGGCACTGAAACAGTCAATGTTAGCAGTGTGCTGAGGCACTGAAACAGTCAATGTTAGCAGTGTGCTGAGGCACTGAAACAGTCATTGTTAGCAGTGTGCTGAGGCACTGAAACAGTCACTGTGTGGAGGTAATCACAGCACCAGATCTATAGTTTATGTCCTGTGATTGAAAACACTAAACAGAAATGTGACCAAACATCCTAGTTTGAGGACATATAAAAGCCCAATACTAAGAGTATCATTGATATGTCAACTCTACTGTCTGCCCCTGCCTTTCATTGAGTGCTTACTAGAATGATGCAATTGTTCTGCATGAAGCTGCTGGATTTGAACCACCTGTGAAGGGAAGGCTGAAGGTGATATCACCGTCCTAGCTCTGAAAAGGTATTGCCAGTGCAATCCATAGCTAGCCATCTGAGGCAGAACCAGCCAATTGAAGTACATTTCCCCCCTTGTTGGAGCTAACATAGTACATACAATTTCATTTCTCTCATGATTATTTTCCTTGTTGGAGCTAGCATAGTACATACAATATCATTTCTCTCATGATTATTTTCCTTGTTGGAGCTAGAATAGTACATACAATTTCATTTCTCTCATGATTATTTCCCTTGTTGGAGCTAGCATAGTACATACAATTTCATTTCTCTCATGATTATTTTCCTTGTTGGAGCTAGCATAGTACATACAATATCATTTCTCTCATGATTATTTTCCTTGTTGGAGCTAGCATAGTACATACAATTTCATTTCTCTCATGATTATTTTCCTTGTTGGAGCTAGCATAGTACATACAATATCATTTCTCTCATGATTATTTCCCTTGTTGGAGCTAGCATAGTACATACAATATCATTTCTCTCATGATTATTTTCCTTGTTGGAGTTAGCATAGTACATACAATTTCATTTCTCTCATGATTATTTCCCTTGCTGGAGCTAGCATAGTACATACAATATCATTTCTCTCATGATTATTTCCCTTGCTGGAGCTAGCATAGTACATACAATATCATTTCTCTCATGATTATTTCCCTTGCTGGAGCTAGCATAGTACATACAATATCATTTCTCTCATGATTATTTTCCTTGTTGGAGCTAGCATAGTACATACAATATCATTTCTCTCATGATTATTTCCCTTGCTGGAGCTAGCATAGTACATACAATATCATTTCTCTCATGATTATTTCCCTTGTTGGAGCTAGCATAGTACATACAATATCATTTCTCTCATGATTATTTCCCTTGTTGGAGCTAGCATAGTACATACAATATCATTTCTCTCATGATTATTTTCCTTGTTGGAGCTAGCATAGTACATACAATATCATTTCTCTCATGATTATTTTCCTTGTTGGAGCTAGCATAGTACATACAATATCATTTCTCTCATGATTATTTCCCTTGTTGGAGCTAGCATAGTACATACAATATCATTTCTCTCATGATTATTTTCCTTGTTGGAGCTAGCATAGTACATACAATTTCATTTCTCTCATGATTATTTCCCTTGTTGGAGCTAGCATAGTACATACAATATCATTTCTCTCATGATTATTTTCCTTGTTGGAGCTAGCATAGTACATACAATATCATTTCTCTCATGATTATTTCCCTTGTTGGAGCTAGCATAGTACATACAATATCATTTCTCTCATGATTATTTTCCTTGTTGGAGCTAGCATAGTACATACAATATCATTTCTCTCATGATTATTTCCCTTGTTGGAGCTAGCATAGTACATACAATTTCATTTCTCTCATGATTATTTCCCTTGTTGGAGCTAGCATAGTACATACAATATCATTTGTCTCATGATTATTTCCCTTGTTGGAGCTAGCATAGTACATACAATTTCATTTCTCTCATGATTATTTTCCTTGTTGGAGCTAGCATAGTACATACAATTTCATTTCTCTCATGATTATTTCCCTTGTTGGAGCTAGCATAGTACATACAATTTCATTTCTCTCATGATTATTTCCCTTGTTGGAGCTAGCATAGTACATACAATTTCATTTCTCTCATGATTATTTTCCTTGTTGGAGCTAGAATAGTACATACAATTTCATTTCTCTCATGATTATTTTCCTTGTTGGAGCTAGCATAGTACATACAATTTCATTTCTCTCATGATTATTTTCCTTGTTGGAGCTAGCATAGTACATACAATTTCATTTCTCTCATGATTATTTTCCTTGTTGGAGCTAGCATAGTACATACAATTTCATTTCTCTCATGATTATTTCCTTGTTGGAGCTAGCATAGTACATACAATTTCATTTCTCTCATGATTATTTTCCTTGTTGGAGCTAGCATAGTACATACAATTTCATTTCTCTCATGATTATTTTCCTTGTTGGAGCTAGAATAGTACATACAATTTCATTTCTCTCATGATTATTTTCCCTTGTTGGAGCTAGCATAGTACATACAATTTCATTTCTCTCATGATTATTTCCCTTGTTGGAGCTAGCATAGTACATACAATTTCATTTCTCTCATGATTATTTTCCCTTGTTGGAGCTAGCATAGTACATACAATTTCATTTCTCTCATGATTATTTTCCTTGTTGGAGCTAGCATAGTACATACAATTTCATTTCTCTCATGATTATTTTCCTTGTTGGAGCTAGCATAGTACATACAATTTCATTTCTCTCATGATTATTTTTCTTGTTGGAGCTAGCATAGTACATACAATTTCATTTCTCTCATGATTATTTTCCTTGTTGGAGCTAGCATAGTACATACAATATCATTTCTCTCATGATTATTTTCCTTGTTGGAGCTAGCATAGTACATACAATATCATTTCTCTCATGATTATTTCCCTTGTTGGAGCTAGCATAGTACATACAATATCATTTCTCTCATGATTATTTCCCTTGTTGGAGCTAGCATAGTACATACAATTTCATTTCTCTCATGATTATTTCCCTTGTTGGAGCTAGCATAGTACATACAATTTCATTTCTCTCATGATTATTTCCCTTGTTGGAGCTAGCATAGTACATACAATTTCATTTCTCTCATGATTATTTTCCTTGTTGGAGCTAGCATAGTACATACAATTTCATTTCTCTCATGATTATTTTCCTTGTTGGAGCTAGCATAGTACATACAATTTCATTTCTCTCATGATTATTTTCCTTGTTGGAGCTAGAATAGTACATACAATTTCATTTCTCTCATGATTATTTTCCTTGTTGGAGCTAGCATAGTACATACAATTTCATTTCTCTCATGATTATTTTCCTTCTTTCTTCTGGAGACAGTGTCCATGTTTGACATTGATAGCACAGCATTGGTAATAATATTGTATTGAACAGTGTTCTTTTAATGTTCATCATCACATGCTTTCATTTCAAAATTGGTGCCATATCACCTCGAACTTGATTGGTTTATTGCCTAATATACGGTAATAAAAAAAAGCAGTCTTGATAAAAGTGTAATCATTATGTCTTTGCAGTATGATCAGTACTATGTTGGCACCCCACCTGCTAAAGAAGTGACATTCAGCAATCTCAATGACAACATCAGTCGAGATTTTCTAGAAAATATGGTCAAGGGGTTTGGAAGAATTGAGGATGTCAAGATATATTACCATCCAAAAAATAAAAAACATATGGGCATTGGAAAGGTAAAAATGTATAATTCATGAATGTTATCATAAAATTAGTGTGTGTTGAACTGTTTCAACATGTCTAGTTTAGTGTATCCAGTTGTCAGCAGACACATGCGTTTTCTAAACCAGTGACGTCTGCGGCAGTTTCCATTCCTGTTTGGAAGCTCTCATATGTGTCATAAGTAAGTACTGTGGCATACTTGCCTACAATTTCTGGAGCGTGATGATTCTGTAGCCTTTTATTTTTGCATGATTTTTCCAAGGAATGGGTCTTAGGTAGCTAAGGTGGCAGCCAGCGGGCACAAGGCCACTTTAGATGCTCTTGTTAAGGCAATCCTAACTTTTTGAAACTAAATTATTCTGTTTATTTCATTTCTACGTTATGGTATGGAATAGCGTTTATATTCAAAACCTGAGATTGATGAAATACTTTCAAACTGACTGCACTCAATGGTTGCTATAGAAAAAATTACGACCATATTGGATTTATTTTGATATGTCAAAAAACCCCTATTTTTGTATATGCAGGCTTAATTTTTTGTATACTTATGCTCTTATAGCCCCTTTAGGCAATTACAGAACGTTTTTGTGATATCACTTACCATTTCTTTTCTACCTACTTAAAAAAGAAATTTGCATGTGTGATTTCCGACTGCTGCACAAATACTCAATAGTTTCACAAAAGCTCTTGTATTTGCATAAGTAATACAATGTTAAATAAGTGTACACAGTTTCATTATAATCAGACAAGCAGATTTTGAGAAAAATATATCTTACGCCGGAAAACTGCCAAAATGAGAAAAACCGGAAAAATGAATGTTTTCGCATTTTATTATGCTAACAACATTATTTTCATGATTGAACATGTAATTTGACACAAATATAACAGGATTATTAGAACAATTCTGCTGCATATACAGGATCTCTCTAGGGCAGGGCTATTCTATTGGTGGCCCGCAGAGGTGGAACACTGATCATTGCCAAAACAGTGAAATGTACATAGTTATTTAAAAAAAAAATTGCAACTTAAATCAATCTTTCTCTAAAAATCTTAAAAAAAACCTGTTGCGTCAGAGGGAAATGTTTGTCATGAATCTCTAAATGTGGAGATACAAGGGAACTGGAGTAGGGACAGAAAATGTCATTAGTTCACAGTAAAACTTAGTTCAAATAGCAGAATCGCCTTTTGGGAACCAAAGATAATGAGATAGGCTGGAGAGATTAAAGAGGCTGGAAAGAATAAAGTAACGAGTAGGAAACAACCGCTTCACTGGACAGTCAGTGAAAGTGAGATATTTATTGGACAGGAAGGTGTATAAGAATACCAGCATAGTCCTGACACTGAAAGATGAGATTGCCCAAAAGCTCTCCTCAATGCTGACCATGGCAACTAGTGCACACAGGCTCATGGCATTTGGTGCTGCAGAACATCAGTAACACTGGACACTGCAGAACATCAGTAACACTGGACACTGCAGAACATCAGTAACACTGGACACTGCAGAACATCAGTAACACTGGACACTGCAGAACATCAGTAACACTGGACACTGCAGAACATCAGTAACACTGGACACCGCAGAACATCAGTAACACTGGACACCGCAGAACATCAGTAACACTGGACACTGCAGAACATCAGTAACACTGGACACCGCAGAACATCAGTGACACTGGACACTGCAGAACATCAGTGACACTGGACACCGCAGAACATCAGTGACACTGGACACTGCAGAACATCAGTGACACTGGACACCGCAGAACATCAGTGACACTGGACACCGCAGAACATCAGTGACACTGGACACCGCAGAACATCAGTGACACTGGACACTGCAGAACATCAGTGACACTGGACACTGCTGAACATCAGTGACACTGGCCACTGCAGTACATCTGTGACACTGGACACCGCAGAACACCTGCTAGTGATCTTGTTGTCAGATTATAATCACATTTTTCGTGAACACAAGTCACAACCAGACACATATTGCCGGACACATTTGTGTAGTAACAAACTGAATCGGTAACTGTGTTTTAAATGGTATGATTTTAATAATTGAGTTGAATACTTTCACAGCTAGGATTAGCTCAGTAAAATATCAGTATTGCATTAAAATAACATATTTTAGACAAATACCGAATCTGACAGGAGACATACTAAAGCGGGTAAAAACAAACATTTCCAAAAATTTTCGACCTGACACAAATTCACTGTTTTGAACACCTGCACATCGCATTAAACCAGACCTCACATCTAACCTGATGGTGCGTGGCTTGTTGTACGATGCCCATGACAGACAATCTATACAAAAACACACTAAACGGAACAACCACAGAGCACACACAGCAGTCTTTAATGTAAAGTACAGACTAGCATGAGACAGGTGACATCAGGAGATGTGGGTACCCTTACCCAAAATGCAGGCCGTGATGGCTTTACAAATCACCATGAACACCTTCCCGTCAAAATGGATAATACTCAGGTCTTAACACACTATTCCTGGTAAGCTCTTTTCTTTGCCACCGGATTCCACCAGGATCACACAGTGACTGTAAAATTTTGGGGGACAGTGTTCAGGGATAGACAGTATCTCAACAGCCAGTCCAAGACCGAGTGGGCTATCAGAGTACCTCAGCACTACTTACGTGACACAGTATACAGAACACTGGCGCAGTCAAACGCTACAAAACACAGAGAAACTACAATACCCTAAAGAAACACATTATCACAAGCTATCATTTGTCACTAATATTCCTGAAACTCACTAAGATTCTAAACCGTCGATCTATTAGATGTCTTCTAACTAACATCTGATGTCCAACTCTTCCCACCCCTCGTTCGATCCGACTCGTGGCTATTGTCACAGCCTGACAGCTCACCCGTGTCCATGCAGGACCTGTAGCCTGAAACTTCCTCCATGCTTAATTGGGTTTCCAAAAGCGCAGTCACATCAGCATCATGTGTCAGTTTCTCTGACTCTGTCTCGCTCTTTGCAGTTCCAGTATGATTCTTGCGGGGGTGTTCTGACTTGGATTGGTATTAGCCTGCACCAGCATATCTGTTGCATCTCCTACCAAATTGTCCTCTCCTCCTTCTGTCTATATCTTGTAGATTCTGATACATTAGATCCCAGCACAATCGCATGAACTCCATAGTCCTGGCGATAATCTAGTTTAAGTAAGTTTTTACCACATATAATGTATACAGTAATGATGTTTTTTTTTAAACAGTCACCCTCGTAGTGCCCCCCATGCTCTAAAAAGGATTAGGGACCTATCAGCCAAGTGTCACCCCTACACGACCTGACTGCTTTCTTTATTTTATCAACTGTGCTTCTACAACCACTCAGTTTTTTGGCATGAAAGAATCACTCTCAACTTGGGGTGTTGATTACCAGCTCCCTACATTTTGACACACATGCGCTACTGATGTACAGTAACAATGTTTCCTACTATCCATCATTAGTTTTATAATTCGGTATAAATCTTACATAAATGCACAAATACATGCATACATATGTACTTAAGGCTTGCATAAATCCTGACATAGATACACATACAGGCATTCAGACTGACAAAGCACTAAAGGCACTGTTATACCATGTGTAAACAACAAGATTGACAGCAATCAGGCGGCAGTAAATGCAGTTGGTGTTATCATGAAAAGAGATATTATCCCTGATGTGATAAGTGAGCAAACATAATGTGGCGGCAGATGTAGGAGAGTGCAGCAAGTGAAGATCTTCAGAAATGACATAGTTTGTTGAGTGGTCATCCATGTCTACATGTGAGTTTCCAAGTGGCCATTGTCTAGACAACCAGGACAGAGCCACTGCCTCCCTAACAGAAGAAAATGGTTTGATGACATTAAAGGCCTTCTACATAGACATGGAATGACAGTAGCCATTGTTACCCATCAAGCAGCGGCTTGCAAGCTGTTACTCCCCACAACACTTAGTGGCAACAGTGGAAATTGACAGTGATGGTGATTAGTTAGTTAGTTGGGTTATCATCATTGCACTCCGGACATGTCCATAGATGCTCAGATCCTCCCATCAGTATGAACCCCTACGTCCGATGGCTAATAGTGACGATGATGGTGATGCAAGCCACAGTGCAGTGGTTTGGACACCTAACAAGAATTCCCTGGTACTATCTGCCACACCGAGCCACACTAAAATGTTAATGGGTATAGAGAGAGTGGAAGACCTAGGAAAATATGGAGTGATGGCATTCTAGGAAAAGATGGAGTGATAGCATTAAGAAGAGCCTTACAGAAATGAACATTAGCCTAAATAGTGCTCTTGACAGAGCTCATCAATGAATGTTACATCTCCCCCCGACACTTTGATGAGGTACAAGATGGAAGAGAAGAAGAAGAACAAGAAGATGATGCAGAAAATAGTAACGTAACATGTTTTGCTTGCAATGCTTGGTATAGCACAAAATGACCATAATGTGCATCTGTGAACTTGTTTCATCACTGCCTATAACGTTTGTTTATTACTAAAGAAAGATTGTTGGCACGTTTATTTCTCTTTTAATTACAGGTTGTATTTGCTCAGTCAAAGTCTGCTAAAGAATGTGTTGAAAAGCTGCATCGCACAACAAAAATGGGAATTGCTATGAATGTTGTGTTAGACACAATGGGTATGTACATGAAGAAAGCATGTGGTGTGTGATTGTGAACTGTTTCTGGACTAGGTGTGGTCAGCACAAAACTCAACTGTTTACATTTCTAGCAATGTTACTATTTGAAGCTCAATTTAATGTGCTTTTTTTTTTAGATATAAGTAAGTAAGTAAAGGATCCTTTCCCACTCTTTTGGGTATATAGGGCTAGACCTATATTTTAAAAACCAATGGGCACTCATTGGATGATAAGGACAACATCACATGGGAGTCTTTACTACCCAAGACTGTTACCTGGTACCCATTTAAGGTTGCGTCGATGTGGGAACCAAGGTCATTTTGTTTTTAAAGGTTGACCTTGGAACCAAGGTTTTTTTTTGGTTTTTTTAAAGTCTAACTCCATCAGGACCTGAGCCCATGACCTATGGATCCACAGGTGAATCTAGCCATACATCATGGCGGCTGCCTTTTAAAATTATCGTCATCATTATGTAGCAGGTCCTTTGCTGAATGTCACTCTCATCACAGTCTGCCTGAAAGTTCTTCCGCCTCATATACTTTCATACTCAAGGAGTCACTTATATCCTGTGCCCATCTTCAAGTCGGCCGCCCCCTGCCCCTACTTCCTGGTACCATACCTTCTGCTATAATTTTTTCTAATTTGTCGTGGCGCTTGATATGACCAAAATATTTCAGCTTCCGAGACAGGGTGCTGTTAATTAGCCAATCTTCCTTGATGTTAAGATTTTCAAGAGGTCAGTATTTCTCCTCTTCTTTCTCCAAGATATTCTGAGATTCTTTCTATAGCATTTCAGCTCAGAAGCCCCTATTCTCTTTCTTAAGGACTCACATCCGTATATAGCCACAGGGAAGATGCATGCCCTCAAAATTCTAATTTTGATCTCCTTGCTGGTGCTTAACCATAGACTTTTAAGGCTGTTCAATCTTTGCATTGCTATGGCCATCCTCCTTTTAATTTCTGCCAAACAGTTTCCATTGCTGTTTATTATAGAGCCTAGATATTCAAAGTTTGTGACATTTTCAATTTCTTCATCATTTATTGTTTTTTTTTTGGGTGACAGCCAGTTTTATCTGCGAACATGATTTTTTTTCTTTAAATTCAAAAACAGATTTTGATCTTCACTGTGCTTTTAAATTATACTATATTAATTTTTGTTTGTTAATAAAATATTAAATTTTAAAAAAAATATATTTTTGACAGGTAAAGAGCGTCAACGACTCATTGATGAAAAAGTTGCAGATAGACCCAGGATTGAATTGGAGGTTAAAACAGCGCCTTCAGTCCCAAGGGTTAGCAGTGTGGACACATTAGAGAGATTTGATTATGTTGAACCTGAGAATGAAAAGTGGTCAGCCTACAATGCAAAGAAACTTCATGAACATCAAAGAAAAGAAAAAGGAGAAAGTTTGACAGTAACTTCTGCTGATAATGTCAGTTTATCTTCTCAGTCCACTGATTTTAATGCTGGGACATCATTTATTCCAAATGCCTTCACACCCGGCTCTATCAACTATGATCCTCAACCATTATTTGTGCCACCTAGTGTCAACCCAAATATTCCATTTTCAGCAGCTTTAGACTACAGTTTCAACACCGTGGCTCCTCCTCCTCCTTTTCACAGTCACAGTATGCCATCTCACTCGCAGACTCCAGTTCATCATGGACCACCACCTATGACCCCTCATCATTCTCACTTTAGTGAAAGTTTTGGTCCTCCTCCGTATGGCCCAAGTCCAGTACCTGCTCCTATGCCTTTTGATATTCAACCTCGATTTCATGTAGATACTTCAGAAAGCATGCCCCAGGTTGTACCACCACCAATAATATATGATGTCTCTGGAAACAACAGCTTACAAAGTATTAACAGCAGGGATGATGACAGAAATTGGCGAAGAGTTAACAGACATGACATAGATGTTCCAACATCAACATCTACACATATTGCTGGCCCGAGTCCCATCCCTGGAAGCAGCATTCCTTTCAGGGGTAGAGACCCACGACCTGGTAAACCTCCGCCTGTCGACATGTCTTCAGAAAAACTCCTATTGCTTCCTGACACACCTGATGCTGATATAGATGATGAGCCCCGATTCATGAGTTTGGAATCAAGAATTCAAAGTCTTCTTCAGGGTGGGTCAGAGATAGATGATAAAGATGATGGTAAATCTGGGGGTGAAGGAGGTTCTGAATCAGATCTACCCTCTTCCCCTGCATCACAGCCAACTCACAAACCACATCTTCATATACCTCCACAGTCACAAGATATTGGCAATTGGAATCAAAACAACATGCATGTTGCACCACCCCCAGAAAATCATCTTCCAAATATACTGCCACCTGTACACATAGCCCCGCCACATCATACCCCGCTGCCGTTTGTGCAGTCACTTCCGACAGGACATTTGGGACCTCATTCTCATCAGGCTATGGACATGTGGTCACAAAATAGTATTCCTTCAAGCGTACCATGGACATCACCATCTTCTTTGGATGGAGGTGTTCCTTTACAGTCATTTGAACCTCCTCTGTCTCAGAACAACAGTGCTGGCGTAATTAAGGAGAGGGGGAAAAATCATAAAAAACATTTTAACAGAGGTGGAGGAAAATTTGGCAGTCATGATCCAGTATTTATTCTGCCTGACTCTGTTACTCGTCCATTTGTTCCGGAGAATAGACAAGACATTCAAAAAAGGGGAGACAACCACATCAGTGATGGCAGTATTGTTATGTCCACTGCTGATCCCTTGGATTTTAAAACCAAATCTCTGTTTTTAGAGGAATCGTCTAACAATGACACGGATGGACAAATAGAGGACAAGGATACAGAAGATGATAGAATGAGCTTAGATTCTGTGAATAGTGGCGATGAAAGACTCGAGGTGAATACTTCAGATGTGTCACAGCAGACTTTCAATGAAATCTGGCAGAATCATCAGTCTGGATTTGATCATTTTGGAATGTTCATTTCTGACTATGAATCAGATACAGATTATGTGACACAGCTGTTTTCACTTGTGCTGAGTGATTTTGTGCAGGAGCTCAAGTCAATAATGCAGAGAGACATATGTAAGAAAATGGTGGAAACATCTGCTTTTAAGTATTTTGAGAAATGGTGGGATCAACAGGAAGAGAAACATAAGGTAAACTATATATATATATATATATATATATATATATATATATATATATATATATATATATATATATATATATATATATATTTATTATAGTATAGTTCAGTATGTATGAAGCATGATATATCTTGTATATATTTATTTATATGTTATTTTGATAGATCATTTGTGTGTCGAAAGTCATTAGTTCAGTTTGTCCATGAAGCATGATCGGTCTTGTGCATGTTTTTTTTTTTTTTTATTGGAGGTTATTTGACTAAGATCATCAGCAGTCGAGAATGACAGCAGTATGCCAGTTTGTTATACAGAGAAATGAGTTTTCTGCACAAGAACCAGAATCTTGTTTCTCCCTTGCAACCTGAAGTGGAAACAAGAGGATGTTGTCAACAAGAAGAATGTATAAACAAGAGGATGTTGTCAGCAAGAAGAATGTATAAACAAGAGGATGTTGTCAACAAGAAAAATTTTTAAACAAGAGGATGTTGTCAGCAAGAAGAATGTATAAACAAGAGGATGTTGTCAGCAAGAAGAATGTATAAACAAGAGGATGTTGTCAACAAGAAGAATGTATAAACAAGAGGATGTTTTTGCAGGAAGAATGTATAAACAAGAGGATGTTGTCAGCAAGAAGAATGTATCTCACCCAGGGGAAGCACCTCACCAAGGGGATGCACCTCACCAAGCCCATTTAGAACAGTCACATGTCTGCTGTGCAGCCTTCAAGAGAAGGCAAAAACCTTCCTGCCATCCGAGGAGGCCGTGCATGGAGAGCTGACAAATGTTGCTCTAGTTTTCTGGCTCACCCAATGAATAATGATGTTCTAAACAGGTTTTCTTAGTTTCATTCCTCTTTCTGTATAAGATTTTACCATGCCTTTTTATCTCAGTTTGTACTATAATCCGTTCCTGAAGTTCTGCCCAGCTTTAAAAATCTGTGACTCAGTAACCGTTCTGTGTAAGTTGCTAAAATTTGGCATGCTTTTTCCTGGTTACATAAAATTCAAGCATTTAAGGTGCCAGTTATGAAGGCTTTTCTGTGTAATAATAAGTAATTGGACAAATTAATGGTTGATAAGAAGTAATTGGGCAAATCAGAATTCTTTCATCTTTCTTTCTATTCTCTTTTAGAAGATTCCTCATGTTTGGCTCAGTGATTCTTGTTTCCTCTCATAGTTGGCTGGTTTTTGTGGTTGATGCTTATTGCAACCATTAATTACACTCTTAATTTGTAGAATTTACATAGAGGAAGATCTGGGAAGTCTGTAGGGTGTTGGAGTCTGTAGGGTGTGGGAGTCTGTAGGGTGTGGGAGTCTGTAAGGTGTGGGAGTCTGTAGGGTGTGGGAGTCTGTAGGGTGTGGGAGTCTGTAGGGTATGGGAGTCTGTAGGGTGTGGGAGTCTGTAGGGTGCGGTAGTCTGTAGGGTGTGGGAGTCTTTAGGGTGCGGGAGTCTGTAGGGTGTGGGAGTCTGTAGGGTGCAGGAGTCAGTCTGTAGGGTGTGGGAATCTAGGGTGCGGGAGTCAGTCTGTAGGGTGTGGGAGTCAGTCTGTAGGGTGCGGGAGTCAGTCTGTAGGGTGCGGGAGTCAGTCTTTAGGGTGTGGGAGTCAGTCTGTAGGGTGTGGGAGTCTGTCGTTAGGGTGTGGGAATCAGTCTGTAGGGTGTGGGAATCAGTCTTTAGGGTGTGGGTGTCAGTCTGTAGGGTGTGGGAGTCAGTCTGTAGGGTGTGGGAGTCAGTCTGTAGGGTGTGGGAGTCTGTAGGGTGCGGGAGTCTGTAGGGTGTGGGAGTGTGTAGGGTGCGGGAGTGTGTATGGTGGCATAGTCTGTAGGGTGTGGGAGTCTGTAGGGTGCGGGAGTGTGTATGGTGGCATAGTCTGTAGAGTGCGGGAGTCTGTAGGGTGCGGGAGTCTGTAGGGTGCGGGAGTCTGTAGGGTGTGGGAGTCTGTAGGGTGCGGGAGTGTGTATGGTGGCATAGTCTGTAGGGTGCGGGAGTGTGTATGGTGGCATAGTCTGTAGGGTGCGGGAGTCTGTAGGGTGTGGGAGTCTGTAGGGTGCGGGAGTCTGTAGGGTGCGGGAGTCTGTAGGGAGGGGGAGTGTGTAGGGTGCGGGAGTGTGTAGGGTGCGGGAGTGTGTAGGGTGGGATAGTCTGTAGGGTGTGGGAGTCTGTAGGGTGTGGGAGTCTGTAGGGTGCCGGAGTTTGTAGGGTGTCATAGTCTGTAGGGGGCTGGAGTCTGTAGGGAGAGGGAGTGTGTAGGGTGCGGGAGTGTGTAGGGATTGGGAGTGTGTAGGGTGGGATAGTCTGTAGGGTGCCAGAGTCTGTATAATGGGGGAGTATTGAAATGTTTTGCCAAAAATTCATCTGTATTTCTAGTTTGTTGTGTATAGTGGTAAATGGTTGCTACTTGTTCTGTATTTCTAGTTTGATGTGTATAGTGGTAAATGGTTGCTAGTTGTTCTGTATTTCTAGTTCGATGTGTATAGTGGTAAATGGTTGCTACTTATTCTGTATTGCTAGTTTGATGTGTATAGTGGTAAATGGTTGCTACTTGTTCTGTATTTCTAGTTTGATGTGCATAGTGGCAAATGGTTGCTACTTATTCTGTATTTCTAGTTTGATGTGTATAGTGGTAATTGTTGCTGCTTATTCTGTATTTCTAGTTTGATGTGTATCGTGGTAGTTGTTGCTACTTGTTCTGTATTTCTAGTTTGATGTGTATAGTGGTAAATGGTTGCTACTTGTTCTGTATTTCTAGTTTGATGTGTATAGTGGTAAATGGTTGCTACTTGTTCTGTATTTCTAGTTTGATGTGTATAGTGGTAAATGGTTGCTACTTGTTCTGTATTTCTAGTTTGACATGTATAGTGGCAAATGGTTGCTACTTTTTCTGTATTTCTAGTTTGATGTGTATAGTGGTAATTGTTGCTGCTTATTCTGTATTTCTAGTTTGATGTGCATAGTGGCAAATGGTTGCTAATTTTTCTGTATTTCTAGTTTGATGCGTATAGTGGTAATTGTTGCTGCTTATCCTGTATTTCTAGTTTGATGTGTATTGTGGTAGTTGTTGCTACTTGTTCTGTATTTCTAGCTTGTTGTGTATAGTGGTAAATGGTTGCTACATGTTCTGTATTTCTAGTTTGATGTGTGTAATCGTAATTGTTGCGACTTGTTCTGTAGTTCTAGTTTGTTGTTTATAGGGGTAAATGGTTGCTACTTGTTCTGTATTTATAGTTTGATGTGTATAGTGATAAATGGTTGCTACTTGTTCTGTATTTCTAGTTTGATGTGTATAGTGGTAGTTGTTGCTACTTGTTCTGTATTTCTAGTTTGATGTGTATAGTGGTAATTGTTGCTGCTTATTCTGTATTTCTAGTTTGATGTGTATATTGGGTAATGGTTGCTACTTGTTCTGTATTTCTAGTTTTATGTGTATAGTGGTAAATGGTTGCTACTTGTTCTGTATTTCTAGTTTGATGTGTATAGTCGTAATTGTTGCGACTTGTTCTGTATTTCTAGCTTGTTGTGTATAGTCGTAATTGTTGCGACTTGTTCTATATTTCTAGTTTGATTTGCATAGTGGCAAATGGTTGCTAATTTTTCTGTATTTCTAGTTTGATGCGTATAGTGGTAAATGGTTGCTACTATTTTGTATTTCTAGTTTGATGTGTATAGTGGTAAATGGTTGCTACTTGTCCTGTATTTCTAGTTTGATGTATATAGTGGTAAATGGTTGCTACTTGTTCTGTATTTCTAGTTTGACGTGTATAGTGGCAAATGGTTGCTACTTATTCTGTATTTCTAGTTTGATGTGTAAAGTGGTAAATGGTTGCTAATTGTTCTGTATTTCTAGTTTGATGTGTATAGTGGTAAATGGTTGCTACTTATTATGTATTTATAGTTTGATGTGTATAGTGGTAAATGGTTGCTACTTATTCTGTATTTCTAGTTTGATGTGTATAGTGGTAAATGGTTGCTACTTGTTCTGTATTTCTAGTTTGATGTGTATAGTGGCAAATGGTTGCTAATTTTTCTGTATTTCTAGTTTGATGCGTATAGTGGTAATTGTTGCTGCTTATTCTGTATTTCTAGTTTGATGTGTATCGTGGTAGTTGTTGCTACTTGTTCTGTATTTCTAGTTTGATGTGTATAGTCATAATTGTTGCTACTTGTTCTGTATTTCTAGTTTGTTGTGTATAGTGGTAAATGGTTGCTACTTGTTCTGTATTTCTAGTTTGACGTGTATAGTGGCAAATGGTTGCTACTTGTTCTGTATTTCTAGTTTAACGTGTATAGTGGTAAATGGTTGCTACTTGTTCTGTATTTCTAGTTTGACGTGTATAGTGGTAAATGGTTGCTACTTGTTCTGTATTTCTAGTTTGACGTGTATAGTGGCAAATGGTTGCTACTTGTTCTGTATTTCTAGTTTGACGTGTATAGTGGTAAATGGTTGCTACTTGTTCTGTATACCTAGTTTGATGTGTATGGTGTAAATCTTTGCTACTTATTCTGTATTTCTAGTTTGATATGTATAGTGTAATGGTTGCTACTTATTCTGTATTTCTAGTTTGATATGTATAGTGGTTGCTACTTGTTCTATATTTCTAGTTTGATTTGTATCGTGGTAGTTGTTGCTTCTTGTCCTGTATTTCTAGTTTGATGTGTATAGTGGTAAATGGTTGATACTATTTTGTATTTCTAGTTTGATGTGTATAGTGGTAAATGGTTGCTACTTGTCCTGTATTTCTAGTTTGATGTATATAGTGGTAAATGGTTGCTACTTGTTCTGTATTTCTAGTTTGACGTGTATAGTGGCAAATGGTTGCTACTTATTCTGTATTTCTAGTTTGGTGTGTAAAGTGGTAAATGGTTGCTAATTGTTCTGTATTTCTAGTTTGATGTGTATAGTGGTAAATGGTTGCTACTTATTTTGTATTTCTAGTTTGATGTGTATAGTGGTAAATGGTTGCTACTTGTCCTGTATTTCTAGTTTGATGTATATAGTGGTAAATGGTTGCTACTTGTTCTGTATTTCTAGTTTGATGTGTATAGTGATAAATGGTTGCTACTTGCTCTGTATTTCTAGTTTGATGTGTATAGTGGTAATTGTTGCTACTTGTTCTGTATTAATATTACCCTGTTACATATTACAATTTCCTGGAAACAAAAATTTTATAAAGTCCTAGAACTGATGGTTAGCCCTCATAGATTACAGATTTCAACATTTTAGTGACAATTATCGTTTCATCATGTCTAGAAGAATGAATGAATTTGTTTGAAGGTAAGATATTGATATTTCGCTGTTCGTTATTCAAAGTTCTGCAAGCTATACTTACTGTGCTGTATTGTTTTACATTTGTTTCATTTGTCTACTGTTATTGGCCCATTGCTGTAATTGATTTTATGCTCATTTTTCTGTAACTTATATAATGCATTTAAGGAGTGTTCATTTAAAATCCATTCCAATGCTTTTTTTTCAAAAGCACGAAAGAAACATCAACAGATGCTTTTTTTTCATGTTGATGCAGTCTTTGCAGCATGCAGGTGAGCTTTATCATGCAACAAATTCCCAGCGTGCAAAACACAAACATTCTTCTGACTCAATAGACTCCATGTATGAATGAATCCAGAATTGATATCGCTGCACTCTGGAATTCACACACGTGCTGCATCCCCTTCTTCAGTAGCCAGTGAAGAGCCGACATGCTAATAGTTCCGCTTATAACCTCATGAAAAAGTCTGCCTAATTTCCCTCAGTGTTGAATATCTTCTAGGAGCCCTGCTCACCCCCCACTAAATTACTTTCAGTGTATGGCTTCTCTATCTACTCTGTTGGCCTGATCTTAGTCTTATCAGGTGATGCTAACCACTACTCTATTGGCCTGATCTTAGTCTTATCAGGTGATGCTAACCACTACTCTATTGGCCTGATCTTAGTCTTATCAGGTGATGCTAACCACTACTCTATTGGCCTGATCTTAGTCTTATCAGGTGATGCTAACCACTACTCTGTTGGTCTGATCTTAGTCTTATCAGGTGATGCTAACCACTACTCTATTGGCCTGATCTTAGTCTTATCAGGTGATGCTAACCACTACTCTATTGGCCTGATCTTAGTCTTATCAGGTGATGCTAACCACTACTCTATTGGCCTGATCTTAGTCTTATCAGGTGATGCTAACCACTACTCTATTGGCCTGATCTTAGTCTTATCAGGTGATGCTAACCACTACTCTGTTGGTCTGATCTTAGTCTTATCAGGTGATGCTAACCACTACTCTATTGGCCTGATCTTAGTCTTATCAGGTGGTGCTAACCACTACTCTATTGGCCTGATCTTAGTCTTATCAGGTGATGCTAGTTTGTTTTCTAAAGCGTGCTTTGTAAGTCAATTACAGTTATAAGATGTTGGACTGTGCTGCTCTCAAGCCACATGATGCTGCCTGCACCTCTATTCTCATACTGGATGTAGTAACGTTATCAGTGGAGCGGGAAGGATGAGACGGATATACAACCCAGCCCTTGCACTGCTGACTCAGCTATCCATTCCTAAGATCCCTGGTCCAAAGTAACGATCACTCTGGGAAAGGTTGTTTTCATGTCCGCTATTCCATGTCCGCTGATGCGGACCAGTTGCTGTTGACTGTCAAATCAGCTCCCTCCACCTGTTACGGTCAGTTGCGATGGACTTCATGGTTGCATGCCTAAAGCCTGTCCAGTCAGTCAAGCTATGTATCCAGGTCTTTCTTGGTCTGCTTCTTCGCCTCTTCCCCTTTTCTCCTCTTCCGCTCTACTGAGCTCTGTAGTATTGTTTTTGAGAGGAGGTTAGATCTTATTACCTTTGCATTTTTCACCTTTTCACTGTAGTTAAAAAAAAAGAAGATTTGTAGTTGCCAATGTGCTGGGTAATTACACAGCAAAACTCATCATTTGTGATGTGGGCTCTGTATGTTATGCCAAGACTTTTTCTGGAAGGTCGCAGTTGCATTTCCAATGCTTGTATCTTTTAAAGTTCAGCTGTTAAGTTTTACTGTTTTATATATATTTATATATATATGTTTTGTTTGTTTTCAGCAACCATCCAAATTATCAAGTGCAGAAATAAAGAAAGACAAGCCGACTCCAACTTCAGACTCTACAGGGGGAATTACCTCAGCTCTAGCTGGTTTATTTGAAGCAAGACACCCTTGGGCTAGGGAGGGCGGTTTAGAATCAGGACTGGGTTTCAATCGTTACAGTTCTGGTGGTTTGCTTGGAATCCGCTCTGGCATGTCCAAACTGCCATCTTTTAAGGTAAAAAAACCACAAAAAAAAAACAATAGAAATCTTGATTATTTATAAATTTGTATACTGTAAGTCAATGTGCATAAACATTGTTTTGGATGCTTTCCTAATATCCTACCCCAATTAGGAAATCCACAGGTCACGAGACAGTCTAATATTTCATGGGGGCGTAGATAGGCTGCATGCAGCCGTGGGACCTAGGCTGCCCTCTCTCGTGAGACATAGGTGGTTTGGGTTAGGGCAAATTGTAGAATTTCTTTTGGTAACCATTTCTTCTTGTGCCTGAAACACACAACAAAAGAGACAAACATTCCAGGTGCTAGACATCCTCAAGCCATTAACACATCTTTGGACTACTGAACATGACTGTAGGAGGACAGACTGATGTAGAAATGCATGAATGGGGCATGAGTGGCTTCACCTGAGACAAGAAGAATTGTTTGTCAGAGTAATCCATGCACTCAGTTGTTTCTAATTGACTTTTCATGAAATACAGTAATTATTACTTTGAAAAATTATATACTTTTTCATAGCAAAATGAACAAAAATAAAAAATACACTATGGCCAAAAAGGTAAGAGCAGTAAACAGAATCAAAAACAGTTCAAACGTTGGCATAGTTAATCCAGATCAGGGTATATAGAAAAAGATCAGAAGGGGAGAGAAGTCACAGACAACATGAAGTAGAATTATTTGACTGAAGCTAGAAATAAATAGCAAGTTTATTAATTATGATCATACATGTTAAAATGTGTTGATTTGAGCTAAGAGAATCAGTGTCACAGCATGGAGACATGATCATACATGTTATGTTCTTATGCCAGTAAAGAGTTGCAATATTGATGGTATCAGTAGAGTCTGATTATCTGTGCGTCTTGCCTTTCTCCTGAAGGTAGAGATCCTCTGATCCTTGCCCCCCATTGCACCCTTCTCTTCAGTCTGATAATCCCTGCCCATTGCACCCTTCTCTTCATTCTGATGATCCTTGCCCAATGCACCCTTCTCTTCAGTCTGATAATCCCTGCCCATTGCACCCTTCTCTTCAGTCTGATGATCCCTCCCCATTGCACCCTTCTCTTCAGTCTGATGATCCCTGCCCATTGCACCCTTCTCTTCAGTCTGATAATCCCTGCCCATTGCACCCTTCTCTTCATTCTGATGATCCCTGCCCATTGCACCCTTCTCTTCAGTCTGATAATCCCTGCCCATTGCACCCTTCTCTTCATTCTGATGATCCTTGCCCAATGCACCCTTCTCTTCAGTCTGATAATCCCTGCCCATTGCACCCTTCTCTTCATTCTGATGATCCCTGCCCATTGCACCCTTCTCTTCAGTCTGATAATCCCTGCCCATTGCACCCTTCTCTTCATTCTGATGATCCTTGCCCAATGCACCCTTCTCTTCAGTCTGATAATCCCTGCCCATTGCACCCTTCTCTTCAGTCTGATAATCCCTCCCCATTGCACCCTTCACTTCAGTCTGATAATTCCCCCCCCCCCCCTCCCCCATTGCACCCTTCTCTTCAGTCTGATGATCTGTTTTTTCACCGGGCTGTTTACTAGCTCTCCACTGGTCTTGACAACATTCAGTGGAAGACACCAGAGTCTGCTCCCACCTCTGTTCTCAAACTGTCTTGTTGTATTGTATGTCAGGCTTTCTGTTAATGGTTGTCCATGCTATGAACCCCCATACACTTCTTCTGCCTCTCGATACTGCCATCTATATAAGTTTACTCAGTGGGCACAATTGTGAAAATAAGGATTGCCATGGACCAGAGGCTGAAGATCAGTGTAGATCAGTGGGCCACTTGCAAGTCTTCTGCACCCTAGATTTAGCCCTTGGGCCGCAAGTTAAATAGCCCTGGTATAGGCAGTCACATCACCTTAATGAATCAGTTGTTGAATTTCTGATTCTGCTACCACCGATAGCACAGATATCTGCTAGTGTGATTATAACTCTTCACAAGTCTGTTGCTCGTCCAATTTGACCCACTCCTCTTGTCGCCCAATATATTCAAGCATGCACATGTATCTGATTGTATCTTTTTCTTGAGACCATCCTTTTTTCAGTCTAGGACCCTTTTTTACATGGCTTTTATGCAGGATGTTTTTCTGTGGCTATTTGTAAGTATGACCTTGCTTGCAGTTTTCTTTTGGAAGCCTGATTGAAAGTTGGCTGTGCAAGGATAATAGTAGGATATCTCTTGTATAGCTAAGAATTACTCTCATGGCTTTATTTTTTATGCTGTCAGATTTCATCAGTTGACTGTTTAATATAGTGAACATTCCAAGTCCATAATATCACACCCAAATGATGAAGTGCTGATCTGTTGTAAACAGCATTCTTTGTTCCTTGTCCTTTGCTGCCATCAGTTTCTGTATATTGAGCCCCTTGTGATTGGCATTTTGGTTGCAACGGTCTCCTTATGCACCTTTAGAGAAAGGTAGCGACAGGCTTGCTTTGTGCAGAGTGGCAAGCATTGTTTCAAAGATCCCGAGTGGTTAGCGTGCTGTGAATATTTTCTCTGGGGATGTAGGAGTATTAGGAAAGATAGAACAGGACACAGATTGGCTATTTCTACACAAATGGGTGGTGAAGTTAAGCATGACTAGCTGGGTAAGGGGATGGCCCTTTTAGAACCAGTGAACAGTGCAGAGGCACAGATCAGTCACTGTGGCCTGGATGGAATGATACAGCTATGAGTGAGCAGAGGGCTGTGGTCGACACTCAGAGGAAAGGCAAGATAAATCAAACTACTACTGGCACTATCAGATTTACATATCTTTGCTGGCTGCTGAAGGTGAGGATGGAGCACTTATAGGAATTCCCAGATGATGTAATATCAGTTCTTAGCTCAACATTCAGACTAAATCTGTGTTGACATATATTTCTTCATTGATGGAGAGCTGGAATGTATTATTCACATGTCTGTCAATGTAGCTTCACGGCTACATATATTGGAATTGTGCAAGCATCAGAAATAGACTTGACTAGTTTTTTAAGTAAAATAATTTAACAGTTTGAAATGTTTTAATTCCAGATATTATAAATATTTTTTTAAAAATCGGTTTGAACTTTGACTTTCTGCAGAAAAAGGTGCCTGAAACAGTACCAGCAGGAGATGAGGAGGAATCTTCAGTTAATTTTAAAAGCAGGAAAGACAAAAGTGATGAACACAAATCTGTTAACAATAAAGAATATGATGATGATGATGAGGATGACGACGACGACGACGATGATGATGACGAGAAGAAGAAGACAATGAAGAAGAAGAAGAGTCTGAACCCGAAGAAACAAAAACATTAGTAAAACGTCCACAGTGTAAAATATACAGTTCTGATGAAGAAATTGATGAATCAAAAACTGGTGAGAAAACTGCATGTATCTTTCCTTTTTGCAACTTAACAGTTACCTTGTCTTGTCTCTCACCTGGCACACCGTGTACAACTGCACATTTACCTTGTCTTGTCTCTCCACTGGCACACCGTGTACAACTTGCACTATTACCTTGTCTTGTCTCTCCACTGGTACACCGTGTACAACTGCACATTTACCTTGTCTTGTCTCTCCACTGGCACACCGTGTACAACTGCACTATTACCTTGTCTTGTCTCTCTACTGGCACACCGTGTACAACGGCACAATTACCTTGTCTTGTCTCTCCACTGGCACACCGTGTACAACGGCACAATTACCTTGTCTTGTCTCTCTACTGGCAAACCGTGTACAACGGCACAATTACCTTGTCTTGTCTCTCCACTGGCACACCGTGTACAACTGCACACACCGTGTACAATTACCTTGTCTTGTCTCTCCACTGGCACACCGTGTACAACTGCACATTTACCTTGTCTTGTCTCTCCACTGGCACACCGTGTACAACGGCACAATTACCTTGTCTTGTCTCTCCACTGGCACACCGTGTACAACGGCACAATTACCTTGTCTTGTCTCTCCACTGGCACACCGTGTACAACGGCACAATTACCTTGTCTTGTCTCTCCACTGGCACACCGTGTACAACGGCACAATTACCTTGTCTTGTCTCTCCACTGGCACACCGTGTACAACGGCACAATTACCTTGTCTTGTCTCTCCACTGGCACACCGTGTACAACGGCACAATTACCTTGTCTTGTCTCTCCACTGGCACACCGTGTACAACTGCACAGATTATCATCTGGTCCTTGCCTGTCATTATTCTTTATGGCTTAAAATACTGATCAGTCAACCTTTTGCGTTTCATGTCCTAATGTGTTTTGGACATATGGCAATAACACCATATTTGTAAAGAGCAACCAGCACTTGATGGATGACATGATCAATAGTTTGTGAGTAGGACAGCTTTAGAAAAGGTTCCCTGTAGCAGTAAAGTTGAATGAACTCTCAGCCCTTTATGTGTGTGCGCGCTCGGCCACGCGCGTACTTGTGTATATGTGTGTGCGCGCTCGGCCACGCGCGTACTTGTGTATATGTGTGTCAAAATAATGCATTTTGAACTGAATGAGACAGAAGCCTTTCTCAGTATTTACAACTTTAGCCTTGTAGGCAGGAAGTTTTTGAGACTGAGAATTTAGGGTTGCATGGCTAGTTCTGTTGCCACAGGCTTTGCAGGGTACGATTTTAATTTTCCCCATAACAGAAAACGAAAATCCCTAACCTTATGAAGGATTCAAACCCTGATCTCCATCCTGAGGGCCAAAAATCAGAATGATCTAATTTATTCACTTAGAAATTTTTCAGGCACTGAAAATTTTGATGCTGACAATTTTTATTAGATAATTCTTTAAAAAGGGAACAAAAATAACCAAGATGATGAGTTGAGTTGATTTAAGAACCAACATTACAGCACTCGAGGCATTCTCGTAAGCGCTCCGTCTCCATCTTCAGCAGCCAATGAAGAGTTCCAATACTAATGGTACCAGTAGCATTTTGATTAAATGTCCGTCTTGACTTTCCTCTGAGCCTCGAGCATCTGCCAGAACCTCTCGTCACTCCCCTCTGCATCAA